TTTTCTCCTGGTTTTTTGGGCTTTGAGTTCAACTGCAGGAGAGACCCCCACCCTCCTGGCCCCAAAACGTGAAAAAAGAACAAAGCTGGCCCAGGCTCTAGGCTGAAGCCAGCCCTGCCAGATGGCCCCTGAAAGCCACGGAGAAGGAGGTCCAATGCCAGGAAAGGGAAACCTAGAGGCCAGGGACACCTTGGAAAAGTCACCCTTGACTCAGTTCTCTGCCTGCACAAGACTTTGGGCCTCTTCCCCCTTTTCTTTCACTGCCTCCTCCAGGAAGAAACAAAATGAGCACGTAGATTGCTTCGAGATCTCTAATGAAGCAGTTAAGAAAGATGTAAGGGAGCATTAGTGAGCCCTATGCAGGGGTAGGAGAGCTGACATTATTATTATCATCATTATTATCAGATAGTGTTTGTTGAGCACTTTCTGCATGCCAGGCACTGTGCCCTAACAAGTGGCATCGCATTTAACGCATTCCTGCCCTGCTTCCCTGCCTTCACGCAGATTCTCTCCTTCCGTTGTCACAACCTCATAATGTAGCTGTTGCTCTTCTCATTTTATAGATGAGGAAACTGACATTCTGGTAAGTTGAGGAACGCACTCCCTGTTCCGTAACTAGTAGCACTGGTGTTACCTTAAGCCTTCTCACGCTAGGTACTCAGAGAGAAGCAGTACTCTCATTTTGCTCTCTGAGCTACATAAAATAAAGGCCAGACCTTCTATTTTTTCAGAAGTGAGGTGGGGCAGAAGGAAGGCTGGGAGTTTCAGAAGAATTTAAGGGGAGTCTCACCCAGCATCTTGCCTACCCCCAGCTTCAGCTATTCTAGACCAAGTGTGATTTGTGAGGAGGGCCAGCTTCTAGACGCTCATGGCAACAGCCTGGTCTGCCACCCACCCCCCACCACCACCTGCCCGAGGCAGCTACCCCAACGGTTTACCGCCCTCAATGCATTGAATCACCCGTCTCCCCAAGAACCTCACCTGTGTGAAACCTGCTCTCAGGGAAGGGAGAGACGTGGAAAAGGAGGGAAAGCCATATGGGAAGACTTCCCGGTGACAACGATGATGATAATGATGATGGCAGTGGTGGTGGTGATGGTGGGTCCAGGTTACCGCTGAGAAACCACGGGAGAGAAGGAAAGCCTGGTAGATGCTTTAAGTGGTGTAGTTTAAAACCTTTTCTTACTTAGCAGACCTAAATTCACATAGAATCTCTACCATTGATAGCTCTGGGACCTCAGGGAATTTACTCAACTATTCTGGACCTGTTTCAACTGCAAAAAAAACAAAAAACAAAAACAAACAAACAAACAAAAAAAACCAGTATAGTGAAAAAACCATGGAAATAAGTGCCTTTCCTAAAGATCTGTTGCAACAGTTAAATGAGATAGCAGGCAAGGCACCCAGGCGCAGTGCTTGGCATGCAGGCTGTTGAGTAAATGCGTGTTTTCCTCTCCTTCCCTGCCTCCACTCCCCTGCTCTGCTCCCCACCTGGGCCAGAGCAAGTAGTGTGGCTTCGGGTAGTGGGAAAGAGCCACCCTCCCCAGATGAGAGTCCTTCCCAAGAGCCCCATCCGAGTCTCAGTGGCCCCAGGGAAAGGGCTGACTGCCAAGGGATCCTCAGGCCCCAGCCCAGCATCCCCCTCCCAAGCTCAGCGAAACATTGGGAGGCTCGGATCAGGGAAGACAGCCCAGTTCCTTAGCAACTAACAAGCATTTCTCTGTAAAGACAAAGACCCTTCACTCAGAATGCTCCTTCCTACCGCGCCCCCCCCCCCCCCCCCCCCCCCCCCCCCCCCGCCTCTCCAGGTGTCTGATGCACTTTGCAGGAATGGGGCTAGGGGCTGCCCACCCCCTGCCCAGGTTTAAGGCCTTTTGCCCCACCTTCCTGGCCATCCTGATATTACCTGTAATTATCCCACAGCACCTTTCATCCTGGTGCTAATTAACCTTCCCATTTACCCCCAGGAGCTGCTGGGAGACACGTGAGGCATCCATACACACACACACACACACACACACACACACACACGCCCTCCTGCATATACATATATACACAAATGCCCATATTCCCCCTTCAGAGACCCTTGCTCCATTTTCGAGATTAGGAAACTAAGGTTCTAGAGAGGAGCCAATTCCTTGAGGGTTCCCATTTGCCTTCTGAGTACTCAGAAGGCAAAACAGGAGCTGAATAGTCTGGCTCAGGGAGAGGGGGAGACAGGGTCCCCCTTAGCATCCTGGTGGGAGAGGGACCAGGAAAGAGAAAAGCCTTTGGAAAAGACTTGAAGAAAACTGAGCCAGGACAGAGGTCTCGGCTCAGTGCCACCTTGGGGCCACCAGACACAAGTTGTCATGCTTAACACAAAGAGGACATTTCAAAGGGAAGAAAGGAAATATTTTGATTAAAAAAAGAAAGGAAGAGAAAGAGGCAGAAAAAGAAGGAAATAGAAAAGAAAGGCATGGCCATCTGGTCGGATGTAGGGACCTGATTTTAGTACCATTCACTGCTGTGTGAGCCTGGACAAGTCAGCTGGCCTCTCTGGGCCTCACTTTCCTCATCTATAAAATAGCTTGGGATGGGTGTTTCCTGAGGTCCCCTCTAGCTGAAAATGCCGCAACTCTATGTGCCTATTTTGGGGAATGGTAGAAAAAGCCACGACTACTGTCCCTTTGGCCGGATAGGAGTGGGGATAGGTGAGAGGAAGCCACCAGAACCAGGTAGAACCTTGGGATTGAGAATAAAAAGGAGCCAAATGCATTTGGCTGCAGAAGTCCCTACCAGGAGGGCCAAACTAAAAG